ATTTTTTTTAGTTATTAATAAAAAAAACATCAAGTAACAAGCAAACTGAGAACACGCCATGGTGCAGGTTTAAGTATTAATCAGACATAACATAATTTCTTCAACCCCCGAAAAAAAAATACATGCTCAAAACTCAGACAGAAGCTGTCACATGATAGCAAACAAAAACTGTCAATTCAATTCAGTTCGAAAACTATTATATCAATGGAGTCTTAGTTTCGGGGGTTGATTTGTAGCGAGGAGTACAGTTACTCGGACGGTTGTCAAGCAGCACATATATGTCACAGCGATCCCAACACCCATCCTGTTTCTGTGAAAAACTGTAAGTATGATTCAATCAGCTCTGCTCTGTGTTACAAGTCAGGTTCGAGCAGAAAACAAATAATCCAGTTCATTGCAAATAAAGATGCTGTTAATAATAAAACTGATAGTGTGATAACCATCATTTGTCATGTAGCCTTGACATGTAGCCGGAAAGTAAAACAGTACTCACTGACGAGCAGGTTAATTATTAATTTGTAGCACATCACTTATGTATCATTTGTAGGGAGTGGAGCCTGCTGGGGCCAAACATTGCCCAAGTGCTGCTTCTGTGCATGATCTGACACGACTCTGTGTTTTAAGGATCTGTGAATGTGAATCAGTTGGTTTTTGCATATGCACCAAGTCTTTATATAATTTATTTTCATACAGGTTAAATTGAACTTGAAAAGTTTAGAATAACAACAAGCATGTTAAATGACACAGATTTTATTGGACAGAGTTAAAAGGTTTTCCAGATGATAAATAACCAGTATGCTAACGGAACTCAGATTTTCTCATTTTGAAATATAATCTAGAACTATAAAATCCAAGCTTAAATTAAAATAAAAGACAAATTGCTGAGGACAAAACTGTGTGGTGCTGAAAAATTAATACTGTTTGAAAAGGTAACTGTCCTATTCACTCAACACACAACAAAAACGGTTGCATCTTATCCACGGACGACCTGCGTGGTGACCACCGTCGAGGCAGCAGGGTGCTGGTTTTCCCTGATCTTCAGCTCACGATTCATCTGGCACCAGACACAGTTATAACACCAAAATATTTTGCAGCAGTCATCACAGCACGAGCCCTGCAGGACAGGAAAATTGAAGGGGAGGAAGAGAGGTTCTCATGTATTTAGAATTTTTAACAGCAGTCTTCTAGACGCACAGCTGAATGGTGAAGGTCAAGCAGCTTGATAAAGTCTGCTTCCTATTCAGTTGTCACCTTGTCTCTAAATCAAGATCAGAGCCGTAATGGAAATTTTACATCGACCATAGAGATCCTAAATGAGGAGGAGGAAAGGAGTTGCACTCAGCAGGACAATATAAGAATATAGGATTTAACTCATGTTATGTGGCTAAAAAATGCATAAAACAGAAGTTTAAAAACATGTTGGGGTGAAGTAATAATGAATTGCACTCCATCTTTGGTAGATTGTATGACAATACAACCAACTGACCTGTCCCTCTCTGTCATGTTTGCACCTTTTGTTTTTGTTGGCTTTGTACATACAGGTAGTCAGCTTAATTTAAGCTAAATACAATAACCTTATCTTCCACTCGCATACTTACAGGGATGTTGTAGCGCTCTCTGACAGACTTGCGAAGTAAGCAGGACACCACACAGCAAAAGTCCAGGAGTGGCATACCGCAGCACCATCCATGTTTACTGGCTGTCTGACACTGCATGCAGGGGAAACACCAATATCCAAAGCAACCTTGAAGAAAATGTGCCATATCTGTATGAATTTACCCCAGTTTTTAATAAATTCTACTTTAACAATCTCTTGCGTAACCTCTGTTTTATATCCTGGCTTCAGACACTCTGATACCTAACTGCAACCAAAGTCTGAGGAGGTGGTTGATGCAGAAATCCCTGCTGTTTGTAGCTGTTTGCTGGGTTCACTTACAGGTGTTCATATCAGAGCAGCAGTCACAGATGCCCGTGCTCCACTCCCCAGCCTTTTGACTCATTGCAGTGGTGGTGACCACCACCTGGGTGTTGGACTGGTTGTAGAAATTCATGCCTGAAGAAACAAGTGAAAAAAGGACACATAAGCCAAAGACACAACATGAAAAAAATTGACAGCACTGGGTTAGATTAAATGATAATAGGTTTAAGTGTTAGGATCTTTGACACAACACTTGTGTGTACACTTTTCGAAAGTTATATATTTTATATTTTTTAAGAAGACATTTCTTAAAAATGTTTTATGTAATGAAACTATTTCCATACATAAAACAGTTTTATCATAGCATGTTTTCAGATCGCACACACAGCCTGTAAATATAAAATTACTGAGTATTGATGATTCAATATGTATTTATTATATTAATGTGTATACGTAAAAAATGAAAAACAACATTTACAGCATGAAGGTCAAAGAAATTCTGTTTAGTCCGTGCCCATCTTGCAATTATACATAAATGACAAATATATGTATCATAGATTAAGTATTTTATCTTTACTCATGAAAACTCATGACACATTTTCCATTTTTCTTTTTGAAAAATGCAGAACAGAAACACAGCATAAACACTGTCCACTGGCTGGAGGCTTGAGTACTACATTTGAGTCAGACTCCTGCCTGTCACACAGCCAAACCAGACAGCCTGTAATCTAGAACATTTATAAGCACCTCTATAAAAGCAAAGGTTCTTAGTTTGTTGGTCTGGAGTATCTGGGTGTGCACGTGTGTGTTACAGGTTTTATCTTTCACTTTTGATCCAGTTCTCACGTCAGGAACATCACTGTCAGCACTCTTAAAGCAGTTTTATAAACAGATAAAGTATTTCTCATAACACAGGCTCATCTGGGTCAAAGCTATTTTCCCCCACCTTTTCTTTTCCTTCCTGAATTTTCTATGTGTGACTGACCAAAGTGCTTCGACCACATATACAGTGCTTTTAATGCTACAGTCCTGAAAACACTATATCTTTCTGGGACTATTGTGCAGAGTTGTGTTTGTACCGATACTCAGACCACTGCTTTATCTATAATCTGTGTTTTGCTTTCAGCCTGTATTTTCATATTTTCTAAAGTCATAGTTTCCTTTTTTGTCTGTAAATAGATCGCAAGTAGATCCATCCATGTTTGGGGTCAGCCATATGCTTCCAATGCCAATTCTTTCATGTGAACGTGCTTGTTCCTGGATGGATAAACCATAAATTAATTTATTGAGTTGATAACCTACTTTGTCTGTCTATCTTAGCCTAATTGCACATGTTGTGAGAACTGAAGCTGTAAATAAAGGATATTCCAGTCGACCTTTGTCCATAGTAAACAGTCTTGGCAAGATGGCTTTATTGCACCTATATAATGCAGAACAGCGACATTACGGGAGCGCTTGCAATAAAATAAAATGTAAAAAAAAAAGCAAACAAAAAACACATTACATACACTCAAACACACAATCAATTTTACCTATATTTTACCCGAAATTACACTATAATATTTAGCTACACATACTTAGCAGTACATATACTTTTATTTCAGATAAAATGTATGGAAATTTCATCTATTTCTAAAGATATTACACTCTTAATTGTGGGCCATATTATAAAATTATAAAAGACTTCTGTTTTAAATATATTAGCAATAATAATTCCATAACATATTAAACCTAAACTTCCCTAGCTAACATTAATCTACTTGTAGTCTAATGCAAGTCTAATCGAGTCTAACAGTCATTAAAATTCATTAATTTCAAAGAATAACCTGCTAAACTCCCATCTTATAACCTCCCTGTGCTGACAGTGATTATAATAATTAGATATCCAGATTTTTGTGCTATTTTTCTTAAGGAAGTATGAAGTACGCGTAGACCCCATGTGCTGCAAATATTCCTTTGACTAGCTTACATGTCACAAAGACTGCTTAAATGCTTTAAGATGTTCATTAGTATCGAAAGTTTTCCTTACCTTTTCTCTGTTTCTGTGAGCTCTGAATAAAGTAGGAGCAAGTCCGACCTATTAATGTACATTGCAATGGGAGTGGTCAAGTGCTCTTCACAGTTCTGCAGTTCCGGTTTTCAAGGAATGAAAACCATTCCTGCAGAGGGTGACACATGTTTACTGCCCACATGCTTCCAGTCCAGTGTACATGTACACTAATAAAACACTCATGGCCAAAGACGTTGACTTCCAATAAAATGAGAGTTAGACGTTAGAGATATGAGCCATGCCAAGTTTAATGCAGTTCATAGTGTATGCTTATTATTACTTTATGAAAATCTTCTTGTTTTAAATTATTTGACTTGTACGCCAAATAGTTTGTGGTCTTCTAGTTCAAGTTCAAGTTTATTTATACAGTATATAATACTTTTAAAACAACAACTGTTGACCAAAGTACTGTACAATAAAAATAGTCAAGGCAGAAGACATAAAAAATAGGATAAAGTTAGAAGGGAATAGAATCATAGAATGATAAGATAGTAAAAACTATAGTAACAGACTCATAGTGATATAAAAGCCAAAGAATAAAAATGGGTCTTTAGACAGGTTTTAAAAGTATCCAGTGTTGGGGAGGCCCTGATATGGAGAGGCAAAGTGTTCCACAATTTAGGAGCAGTCACCGCAAATGCCCGGTCTTCTCTGTGTTTTAATCTGGACCTTGGGACAACTAGGAGCATTTTGTCCGCAGACCTCAAAGATCTTGCAGGAGTATACCAGGTTAGGAGATCAGAAAGATGTGTAGGAGCTGGTCCATGCTGCATCTTAAAAACAAGTATTAAAATCTTAAAATCAATTTGAAAACTGACTGGCAGCCAATGTAATGATGCAAATATGGCAGATATTTGATCTCGCTTGCATGTGCCAGTTAGGTTGAACATTATTCTTGTAAAACAAAGGGGGGGGCCAGCAAAAAAAGTTTGGGAACCGCTGGCCTGGGCCATTTCACCTCAGTGAATCACATGATAATTTGGGGCTAGGCTTCACAATGGGTTCACCCAAAACCCTGGCTGATTGTGAGCCACACCCGTTTTCACACTTTGTGATTAGGGTCAATAGGGGGTCTTGGAGACACTTAATATCTGGGCTTAATATCTGGAACTCTTCAATGGAGATTGACAGACCACGTGACTTGTGCGCGTTGCATTGTGGGTACGAATGGCAGCAAAATCAAAACACTGCATGAAGCGCTAGCATTTCCAGCACCTGTAAGCATCAATTCTGCAATTTTAATCCCTACTTGCATTTTATTTGCCCCAAAAACAGTTATGTACAAAACCCTGGTATATAAATGGAGCCCAGTCTCTATCGCATTGCAAATATTAGCCCACAAAGCCACACTAAACAAAGCAGCATAGTGCAACGATTTCAATTCAAATCAATATAGGACTTATTTGTAACCTACATCAACAATTATGATATGATAAATTACTTATTTACTACAACAAAAAATCTACCTTTGTGGAAATGCTTGGAGCAGACTAATATGTGAGCTGGAGTGTTCTGGAACATTATATTTAGTCTTCGAATAGCTGCAATCCAGGCCACCGTCACCTCTTTGCAACTTCAGAAACATGACTTGAACAATTTTTCTTCCACGAAGGAATCTGATAAAAAAAAACTATTTCTTTACCCGTCGGCTTCCCGTGGCTGTCATGCTACTCGCTATGGCAGTTAATAATACAACAGCCTTGCCATTGCCATTCTTTATGTCTCTGTTTATCTCTGTGTGACTGTTGTCTTTTAATAACCCATGTGGGCTAGTACCACTTGCCACTTGTACATACAATCCTTTGCGGTTTTACCCCGGAAATGACGTCACATTTTCAAACTCTATTGTTTTTAGAACTGAAGAAGCTTCACAGGTGACAGATGAAAGGTCTCCAAGTTTCCTTGAAGACCTTTCATCTTTTCCAACAATTCTCAGATTAATTTGTGTTCTACAAATTTGTGTTCTACAAATTAATCTGAGAATTGTTACAATGTTCCATTCTAAATCTGTTGTGTTCTACAACAGATTTAGAATGGAACATTGTAACTTTTTTCTTCTTTTTTTTGTCTTGTTTTAAGCTTGTTTGTTTTGTTAGGAACTGAACTCTCTGAACTACCTCCACTCCCGTTTCTCCTCAATCCACTCCTTTTTCCCTTTCCAAGAAGTCCATAACAGATTAATTCACATTATCTGTTCTCCTTCTCATGGGCCAAGATAACTTTCTTTTGCAAAAGATAATGAGAAATAAGAGATAACTCTTTATTTTCATTGCACAGTCACACCTAGTACAATAGTACAACGAAATTGGAAACTGTCCTGCGTCAGCACTATGCACAACACAACACAGTAATTTATCTTAATAAATAAAAAGAATTAGTGTATGTTTATATTGCACATTATTATTAGAACTATACACAGATGCACTCAGCACACTTTCAAAAAAGCAACGTCTCGTCTCCCCCAGAGATAAGCCCCACCACGGTGGTATCATCTGCTCACAGAAGTAAACGTGTCTCTACCAGACTGAAAGGGTGAGAAGATTGATGGACTAGTCCTCCAGTGACTGTACCAATATAGATGTATTTTTTAGTTGTTGATCATTTCATGATTTTGACGACAGAGATTTGCTGCTTCATTTTCCTCTGCCCTATCTACCGAGAAACCTGACGCCAAGTTATTTGCATACTAACTGTGATTGGATGTTTAGCTGGAGGGGGGGGGGGTTTCTCTGCCAAGTGCTGTTGTTAAATCTTGTCCATATTCCGTTTGTGGGTAATGTATTATTTTCTTTCACAACTTCTAAAAGTTTGACTTAATGGGGCAGGATGCTTGCTTAAGTGGGCATTGGCCACTCTTGCCCCAGAGGGGGCAGGACTAAAATGGAGCTTTAAGAAAGTAAAGTTTTAAAATTAAAAACAAACATACTTAAAACAACAAATAATGACTGAAGGGCTCATTTGAACAGTCCAATACTGCTCACTATAGTAAAACAGCTGTTAGAGCAATCTCACATCTTTACTTCGTGATCATTTTACAGCTGTCTTGTAATACTGTCTTGACAGTATACTGTATATGCTATTTGTGCTATAAAGTTGATATGAAGTTGGATTTCAGTGAATGAATCTAAGCATCATCAACTAAACGATTAATCTCTGCTACGCTTTAAGTAACCTAACTCTGACCATGAGCACCACAGCCACTGTGCATGAGTTACGCACTGTTTACTCAGCAGTGTTTACTGTTACTGTTTACTTTATATCCTTTACAGTACTGGAAAGTGCGTTCATGCAACCTTTACATAACACAATGTTTGCTTACCAAGTTTGTTTTGCAGGACGTTTTACATATACAGAGCCAATATCCTTACCTTCCTCTCCTGTCTTTCTTATCTTTCTCTGTCTCTGAGTGAAATTAGCTCTCTTTCCTTTTTTTTCACCATAACAACACTAGCTCACCAATAATAAATTATATGGTTTTGCCTTTTTCATCATTTTGTATACACAATTAGGACTGTCTTCCATGTGTTACAGTTTAGGCTCAAATCGGTTTGACGTTTGATGCCGTGCAATAACTCTCCTCAAATGACTTAAAATTTTTATACATTTAGAAGCATGAAACAGTCATTAATGGGCATAGTTGCTTCATCCAGTCTTCTTTGATTGAAAGACTCCTTTGTGCAGCCAAACACTGCCCTCTACAGTTAAACACATGTCAGCACAGCCTCACATTGTTTATTTCACAATCAGAATACTTTATTAGTCCCTAAGAAAATTATGTAATGTGTTCTAATCAATTATTTCTTGATTATTGGTAACTTGTTTTTAACCTCCAGGAGCTGTTCAGAAAATAGGTGGTTAATATCAAATCTTCTTATGTTCTCTGAGCAGGCTGGGGGTGAATATCGGCTGCTGCTCAAGAGTTGCATGCTGGGTTTTTTTCTCCATCTCCTGTCTCTTTGACAAAAAAGAAAAAAAGAAAATGGAAATTAGCATCTGTATTTTTCTTTATTGACATGTCTCTTTTAATCCTTTAATTGATGCTTGCATCTTGCATGAGACTTATAAGTACAGTGTATGTAAAATGAAATGAAATGAAATTTCAAATAAAAAAAAGCAGTTACATTTCTGATCATTCTGAAAATGTCCTCACTATAGGACATCTTATTGGGTATTTTGTTATTCAAATATATGTCATTGTGAGCTGCATGTCTTGTGTCTTTAATTTTTAGTCAAAGAGCAGAGAGATAACTCCCAGGCCTGACAACATGATTCAAGATCCAATAAACTCAGAGAAAACTTGAACGCAGCAGTAACTTTGTCAGACTGGTGATCCTCCACTACCAGGAAACAAATTATTTAATACAGCTTCTGTAGCACAATATGTGTTCATCATAGGATTTCTAAAGGAAAGGTACTTATCAGTCTGGCATTGGTATTTTATATGAGATGTTAGTCTCATAAGACATACAGCATATCCTTGATATACCATGATTAATGAATGAGAATTCAGTAAACTCAGTAAACAGATCTTGCCACTTTCACTGTATGCCATACTGCCTATGAATCCTAACAAAATGGTCATGCATATTTTATTGTCTAGTGTCTCATTAAAAAAAGAAAACAGCCCTCATCTCAGTTTTGTACAATTGAACAGCAAATGTAATGTGTAATTATAATGGATGATGATGCTTTTAGTTTTTGTGTATATGAGCAGAAGCATGATTGCGTTATTAAAGTTCAGGGGATTGTGAATAAACTCAAAAACAGGTGATCCTAGCTGTTGTGTACAACAGTCACGCTGTCAGATTTTCATTACAACTTAGTCAGTTGTCACAACCAAAATAATTGTTATTCGCTGCGATATCTGTAGCGCTTGTGAGGGGCGAAAAGAAAGAATTAGGTGAAATCTTATTAGTAATTACATTATAATAAATGGTCACCATCTCATCCTGCTCAGAGAACATGACAAGATTTAACATTAACTATGAACTGCATTAACTACTACAGGTTACACACCTAAAATCATCAAGAAAAAGAACATGGGGCTGTAATAACATCTGCTTTGCTGCAGAGGGCAGTTTTGGTCTGTAAAATAGTTTTGGTCTGTATATGGCA